CTCGGCGTCTTAACGAGGCTCTTGATTGCCAGGAAGTCTGAGCTGTAACGAGCTCTGAATGCTGACGAGCTGATGCCCTCACAGAGATCATTAAACCGAAAGCGGCCGTGCGTCATGTCCGGACCGGTCCGCGCTACACCAGCTGATATTTGAACACTTTTATTGTTCACATCTCTGGATTTCTTTCACTTCCTTCCTGCTTTCGCGTCTCCTTCACATTTCATAATCAGAAACGATTTGCCTTCAGGGGCTCCGTTTAACAAATATCACGTGCACTGCTTTCAGCTATTATTTTTATTTAAGCACTTTGCAGAGTATCCATCAGATCCTTTTAATGTCTGACTTTCAGCTTCACCTTCCTTTCTGTATCTGTTATCGATGTTGGCAGTCTCCTCCTTTCCCTTCACGCTGAATCGGACGTGTTAAACAAAAGCAAACCTGCTGCTGCTTTTGTTTTCCAGCCAGCACAGATAGACTCTGAGCTGCTGTTCAACAGCTAATGACTGGACAGTAAATCAGGATAATGGGCTCTGGGCTGCTCCGGGCCTTTCGTCCGTTCACTGGATGCTAAATATCCGGGGATTTAATGGCTGTTTATCTCTGCTGATGCTGCATTCTGTTACTTTGCTTCCCTAAAGGGAATAATTAGTCTGGTTAAGCAGGGACCTGACAGGCAGGACGGGGAAACACGCTGAACTCTTTGTACAACTAATGCTGAAGCCACAGTTTTAATGGAAACACCAAAGGAACAGCAAACAGTGATGAAGCACTCGGTGTTTGCCTGTGTTTGTTGTCTCCTGCTTCACAGACAAATCAGAGTCATTAGAATATATTAATTTGACATTTGCTCAGTTATTAAAAAAGTCTGTGTGTTCTGACCCTTAGTTCTGGTTCTAAACGCTTCACTTTGGAATACGAGTGCTTACAGCAACCTGCTGCAGGAACATAGAGTCTTCACAATGACCTTTTTTTCTTTATTTAAGGGCAGACTGCATGGACACAGGAGGTGTGGCCTCAGGAGGTGTGGCCTCAGGAGGTGTGGCTTCAGGTGGTGTGGCCCCATAGGGGGTGTGGTCTCAGAGGTGTGACCTCAGATGTGTGGCCTCAGAGGTGTGGCCTCGAGAGGTGTGGCCTCGGGAGGTGTGGCTTCAGGAGGTGTGGCCACGGGGCTGAAAACACCTGAATTCAAAGATAATGAGCTGTGGCCCAAAACGTTTGTCCGTGTAGAGTTTAAGCTCACTGGGTCTGGAGTGTTTTTGTTCTTTGATTCTGATCATTCTGTTATTTTATGGTTTTTCATGGTTTAGTTTGTATTTCTGCTCCTTTACTGTTCTTGTGCCTCCCTTGTGTTACGTCTAGTCGTCCTTGTCTCCATGTTGGTGTATTTCCTGTTCTACTTTGCCGTGTCCTGTGTTAGTCTTTACAGTGTTGCTCTCCCTCCCGTCTCGTCATGTCCGATTAGTTTCGGCTGCGTTCCCCTCCTGTTTCCTGTTTCTGTGTATTTCCCTCTGGATTACTTCTGCTTCGTATCCAAAATAATATTGCCCGAAAAAGAATTTTGTTGTCGTGGAAATCATGTCAGCCAGCATTAAAGTCTGGTTACACGACATCCTAGGACTCCTAAAACTGGAGAAGATAAATTCTCCCTCAGAGGCTCATCTGATAGATTTGTTACTCACTGGAAACCATTACTTAAATACTTACCGTAGCTTCCAGCACAAGAAATCTCTTTGTAGTCCATCATACGCCCGTGCACAAACGCTCCAGCTGCTTCCAGCAGTGGCTGTTCCACCTCGTAAGATTACTTCATTTAGGATACTCCAGCATTATCGATTTACTTTGACTGAGGAGCAAATGTCATTAATATCGATATTAATTAGAGTTAATTAATGTTGATTAATGTCAATATGAATTCACAGGAATGAGCCCTTTATTGTTGGTCTTCATTATTTGTTTTGATGTATGGGTTAATGTCACGGCTAGACGGTCCTCACCGGTAGCCTTGTCAATTTTTGTTGTGTTAGTGTGTACTTTGTGGTGTTCTCCTCTCCATCCTGTGCATGTGTGTTTGTATGCTGGAACATGTACTTCTGGAAGCCGTGGCACGGAATGGCAGCTGACCCGGGGGGAGGATCCTGAGCTGGAATCGTCGCACCTGTGCGTAATCGCTTCGCCGGCTGCTACTAATCCGAAGCAGACCTATTTAACGGTGCAGTCGAGTCACAACCAACGCTGGAACGTCGAGCTAAACCGGGTAGCGTAGTCGTGATTAGCATACCTGTTTGTGAAGGAGAGAGAACGTTTTCGTCACCATACGCGTGTTTTTCTCATCTGCCTCCAGGATCCAGGGATCGGAGGAGGAGCGGGCACAAGTCACTGCACTGTCACCACGGGGAGAAGCCACCGTGTCACTGCACTGCCCTTTTTGGATTACAGACTCAAACTGTTGCCTTATTTTTTCACTGTGAATAAATTCACTGTCACTCTGCAAGGAGTCTCGCACCTGAGTCCTTTAACCCAATTCACCGTGACAGTTAATCCATCTTTCTGTAACATAGTCACCTTCAAATTATTGGGGGGTATTCATGCCATCTATGTTATTCATGTTTACTGGATGTTATAAAGAAAGAAGAGACGATCATTTCTGTCTGTACCTTTGTGCTTCGTGTCTGCATTTGATAATAAAACGAACACAACAGCAGTTTAAATATCAGTGCGTCGAATTCAGACGTCACAACATTTAAACCGAGTTTCATTTGCATCTAAGTGACAGACTCCTGTTTAAAAAGCGTCAGAATTTCATTTTTCTTGACTTTATTCACTTTGTGAACGTTGATAAACTCACTTCAGACTCACCTGCAGAAAACTGAATATTTTCTTCTGCTTTCACGTTTGTTTGAGTCCATCTGCTGCTGCTTGATACCAACATTTGTTTCCTGCTGCTGCAATGACTGACATCAGGAAGTGTCCGCAGCCTGCTGGATGATGTCCTGTAACCCACTGAAGTCTGTCAGAACTTGTTTGTGCTGTGAGCAGCCATGTGGTGCAGGATAAACACAGCTGTACACATCTGCATGACGCCCTGAGGGGCGCGGCTGAACGCCCTGTCCCACAGAGCACATGTCGACGGCACTGCAGACCCCATCAAACAGCCCAGCGTCACTGAGATCAGGTTCACATCACACCTCCTGAATCCATGGAAGAGCAACCTTCAGCTCAGGACGCAGAGCCACAGATCTACTAACTGTAAGGTCAGTGCTTTGATGCCTGACTGTAAGATACCGGACCCCGAGTTGGAATAACACATCCATCGGAGTGAGTGTGTGAATGCACGCAGGCATAGAGGAAGGTGCATGAATGTGAACGTGTGAAGAGGAAAGCAGCGGTCTGTTCATCTGTTTGTTTTATGCTGATGATGCGTCTCTGCTGGCTTTGAGTGATGCCCTCCAGCTCACTGTGACGGGACGGCGCCCAGAGTCTGAGACCGGGTGAAGGGCCCGCTCCGGGTGAGGGAGGAGTTACTGCAAAGGGGAGGAGTGAAGTTTTTGCTGTACAGTCCACCCCCACCTATAGCTGCATGCTGTGGGTGGTGTGTGAAAGAATGAGACTGTGGACCAGCCGGACCAGTGACACTGCGCTCTCTGTCGGGTGAACGATCCACGCTTTCATGCAGGATTCTGGTGTTTCTGTGGATTCCACACGTGTCTGTATTTACAGATGAGCCAGATGTTCTCCCTCCCTCTGGGTTACTGCTTCATTACTTTGTGTCGTATGACTGTTCAGTAGGAAAAGCTGTAAAACTTCTGAAACTGCAGTTAAAAGTCCAAAATGTGTGCGTGTGTGTGGTGAGCAGCAGATCAAACAAGCTAAGAATGATAAATTATAATTATTATAAATGAGTCTCCAGACCTGTGAGACTCATTTAGACTCTCAGAGACCCAGCAGCACTGAAACAGACAGAACCTGGAGAGGAAACGAAGACGAGCCTCTGATGAAGCCGCAATGAAGCAGCGACTTAAGTTTTCCTATTTACAGATAATGATGAATGGTGTTCAAATTTTAGTCCGTTGGCCGCCTCCTCTTTGCTTTTGACACATGGTTTAAAATAATTGCCTAATTAAGCGTCCGGAGGCGCTGGCTGCCTCTCACACTGTTCAAAGCATCACTCTGGTTCCTCTTTGCTGTCTCTGAATAAGAAAAGATATAGACTACACGTAAACATGCTCAGACTGGCTGTTTCTGTCCTGACTGGGCTTTCTGTGTCTATGGTTCGAGCAAAAATAATCATTCATTTATTAGCTGGAAATAAAAAGCAGATCATCCACAGCTGATGTTGGATCCACTCAGAATTTGTCTTGATTTTTTAAATAGGTTTTTCTTGCTTAATGAGATACAGCAGAAAACGGTTACCTGGTGCATTTCACAGCACATTCAGCCGTACTCATTATGTCTGACAGTTTGGGTGGATTTGTGCTGGTTTTGTACAGTAAGCGTGGGGAAGCTGCAGGCTGTGTCCCTGTTTCGTGACAGCGTTTCATCAGGCAGCAGAAAAGACGGAGCGAGGTTTCATCTGCAGGCGAACTGTGGAGGCTTTGATTTTTTCTGAGGTCAGCGGAGCGAGACGAACAGGTTTCACAGCCGAGGCGAGACGGTGACTGAACCAGGCCAACAGGAACGAGGGGGGAGGGAGGGAGGCTGGGGACGCGGGGGGAGGAGGACTCGTGATGGAAAGCGCACGCAGACTGTGTGCACGTGTGCACGGCTATCTTATGTGTGCAATAGAAACTCGGTTTCACAGCACAGCAAACGCACAAACTGAGCATGTGCCAGAGACGAGAAGCGTTTATACGAATGAGCTGAAACTCTTCATTTCTTCAGACAAGCCTGAAGTAGATCAGCTGTGTTGAAGACTCCTGATGACCTGCCGATGATCATGATGCCTGCAGCCGTACCTGCTTTAGTGTAGCTGAGTTAAATGAGCGTTCGTGTCTGCTGTCCCGTTACTGCACAGCCGTGTCACGTGTCGGACGGACCACCCGCCCAGCTCTGTGTCTGTGCATGGAGTGTTTTTGGTGCTCGGACTCACCACTCAGCTCCTCATCCAGAACCTCCTGCATGTGCTTCATCATGGCCTCAAGCTCACTGACCTGAGGAAGATGATGGATCTTTTAGTCTGATCAGAATGATCAATTCTTTCTATAATTACAAACAAAATCACATAATTATTATTATTATTACAGAGACAGACAACCAGTCACATTCGTACCTGTGGCCAGTTTACAATCACCAGAGAAGCTGACCTGCATGTGTGAACATGTCCACACAAAGGGAGTCCTGGATTAAGGTGAGGTGATGGTGCTGCCGCTGTGAAACCACGTTACTGTTGCTTTGTTTTTCCATCAGCCATAATTAAACTTTTTGTTTAAATGGCCTGTATTTATATAGAGCTTTACTCGTCCCTGAGGACCCCAAAGCGCTTTACACATCCAGTCATCCACCCATTCACCCACACATTCACACACTGGTGATGGCAGCTACATGTAGCCACAGCCACCCTGGGGCGCACTGACAGAGGCGAGGCTGCTGGACACTGGCGCCACCGGGCCCTCTGACCACCACCAGTAGGCAACGGGTGAAGTGTCTTGCCCAAGGACACAACGACCGAGACTGTCCGAGCCAAGGCTCGAACCGGCAACCTTCAGATTACAAGGCGAACGTCCAACTCTTGAGCCACAATTATTCTCTCCCGTGTCTGCATTCGGGCTCCACAAACACAGGCCCGCTCGGCCGTGACACATCAGACCACAGGCTTTCCGACCAAAAGTTGAGGAAGAACTTTTGTAAAGTTCTGCTGACACACTGAAAAAGTCTGTTTGTAATACATAAAAAAGACCATAATGCACATTTAAATGGACTCTTCTGCTGTATGTCTGTGGTGTTTCGGGGTTATCGTTGCACTCTCTGTCGTGGGAACAAAAGCTAAAAGAAAAAGCTGGTTTTGTGTCGCGTGGTCCCCCGCAGCTTTCCAAAAGGCGATTTAGCTTTAATAGCTTTGGTCACAATAGACACATAAACCTTAAACAGCAGGCTGAAGTGTGCTATTGACAGAAAAGCTCGGAGACATCCACGTCCCCCGTCCCCGTGCTCAGCTGCCGAATCGGGAAACCGAGATTGTTCTGCACAAAGCTTAATAATCATCTGCGTGTTGTTACACAGCCGATGCATCATGTGAATGATTCCGACTTATTTCACTCGTTATTCCTGAAAAACAAACAGAGCGAGGGAGCAGAGAGGGGGCGTCTGCGGGAGGCTTATCCACTTTCATTCACGAGCCAATAAAAACGGACTCAGACATTTAAACTGCAGACACACCCTCGTTCAGATTGCTGCTCCAGAGTTAATCGTGCAGCTGGAATTTAAAACAGACTTCACGCAGTGTCGCATCGCTGCGCATTTAAAGGACAATTAGAAGGTTTTTCAACCAGTTCCATTTTCTATTAAGCTAACTGTTATAGCTCTGCTGCCTCGGCTGGACCTGCTTTGTGCTTCAGTGCAGATAAAATCACCTCACACAGGCAGAGTCACATGGACATAAAATAAGGACCAAAGTGCAGTGAGAGACTTGAGAGACGGGAATAAACTGGCAGCGTGGAGTCATCGGAAACAGGAAGTACAGCAACAGTCAAAAAAAGAACCGTGAGGGAGGAGAACAAAGGAAAACTGAGACCACGTCAGGCTGATCGTCAAAGCAGCACAACGAGGAGAGAGGCTGAGTGTGCGGCTGATGAAAGATGCTCTGCTTCAGAAAAGGCTGAAAAGACTCGTCTGCTGCATCTGTGACAAACCTCTCTGCACTTTGGTATCTACAGCTGAGAGACGAGTCATCGTGTAGAAAATTACTGAATGACTGCAGCTTGTTTGGGAGGTACAAGGAGAAAACCTCTGCTCTGTAAACTGAACATGACAGTTTAGGTTTCAACGTTGCATCTGAACATACGAGAGCAAAGCGGAGCTGTTCGGCCATGGTGCACAAACACTTCAAACCAACAGCACGGTGGTGGAGGGGCGAGGATTTGGGCACCATGAACTCCTCTGTATTCTAGTGTCAGACAAGAGGCCGTCTGTCTGCTGAAGCGTGGACTCAACTGGGTCACCAGCAGAACGATGACCCGAGCACAGCAGCAGATCTGCAGCAGAACGGCTGGAAAAGGGAAGAATGGTGCAGTGGTGCAGTCACAGTGTGGGATGCTGTGGTGGGACCTTCACAGAGCTGTGCATGAATAATCCTGCAAACCTCAGTGAGCTGAAGCAACGCTGTAAAGAAGAGTGGGTCAAAACTCTCCACAGTGATGTGAGAAAGTCCCACAGGAAACTTCGAGTTAGTGCTGCTGCACGAGGTTCAGTCAGTGTATCAGGATCATGTACAAACTAATAATAACATGTTACTGGATCATCTTCACTCTGTAAAGAGAGAAAACAGGTGGATGGATGTAGTTTCAGTTCAGGATCTGATTGGTTGTTTGAATCGGGTTCACTTTGTGGCGTGGCCCCTCCCCGACCGCTCAGGAGGAAGGCGTTTCACTTTGCACCCACTTGCACTGACAGCATTTCTCTGCATCAGTCAACTGCTGCTCCACTAATAATGAATATTATTTTCCATTATCTGTGGCAATAACTCAGCCCTGTCCTCTTCTTCAGTGTTATCGGCTCTCCAGGCAGTAATAACTGAGAAGCGATGGAGCTGTTACTCTTCATCATTCAGGAACATTTATGGGCTTCATTTCTGTTCGGCTGCACGACAGGATCGACCACTGAGGAATGAATTTCCATGAAATAGTCTGAGCCTGATGGAGACGCAAACCTGCACTACAGCTTTTTTAATATTTATCTTGATGCAGCCGCTCACTTAAAAATTTTAAGCTACGACAGCCTCGGTATGAGATAAAGACGGATTCGTTTAAACGATGACTCACGCAAAGAAACTTATTGACTACTTACTAGGTTTCATCAGGGTGACGAGTCTCGCCCCGTCCAAGTGCGATGACACAATCACCTGCTCACAGAAATGACCGGTGGGCCGATCTTTATGGAAGAAAATAAAAATATGGAGCACTTTAACGTTCTGGGTTCCTGCAAGAGACGACTCTGTGACGTGGAGTGTTTCTTCTTCACTCACTGTGTGTTAACAGACCTCTCTGCACTGAATCACATCTGTTATTAACCTCTGTCTCTCTTCCACAGCATGTCTTTATCCTGTCTTCCTTCTCTCACCCCAACCAATCACAGCAGATGGCCCCGCCCCTCCCTGAGCCTGGTTCTGCTGGAGGTTTCTTCCTGTTAAAAGGGAGTTTTTCCTTCCCACTGTCGCCAAAGTGCTGCTCATAGAGGGTCATATGATTGTTGGGTTTTTCTCTGTATGTATGATTGTAGGGTCTGACTCACAGTATAAAGCAGCTTGAGGTGACTGTCGTTGTGATTTGGCGCTGTGTAAATAAAGTTGAATTGAAGTTAGAAAGGCTCATTAAAGCAGAATGAAGCTGTAGCTTCAGACTCACAGATGTAACTTAACACTGACATAATTATGGGATAGCTCCACATCTGTGAAGCCTCTGCAGTGATCTCTACAGCAGCAGCATACGCTAGCTTCTTTCTCAGGGAAAGACAAACAGTATATAAAATCAAAACAGATAAAATCTGTTAGAAAATGAAGAAACTACTGTGTTCCCATCTACACAGGAGCACGACAGACAAGCTGCAGCTGAACACATCCGGTCAGAGGATGAATGTATGAGCATTAGTCTTAAATCAGTTAAGCTGTTGTTAGGAAAACGGAAGAATCTGGACTGGTACCTGTAATATCCTGTAAGTATTTAAACTTTTTTATTCGGCGGGTCTTTCACTCATTGACAGAGCGGTTTGACATGCGTCTAAAGCCTGATTCATTCAACAGCGCTCTGGTATTTGTAATAGTGCAGTTCTGATTTGGGCGCCACGGTAAATCTATCAGCTATCAGACGAGATCTCCAGAGACGTGACCCAGCATCGCGTCCTCTCCACAGAAACGCAGCGATCAGAGTCTCAGAGCTTCGTCTCGTGGCCTCTCTGTGTCTCGGCTCCGCTAATTATCCGGCTCCACAATCCGCAGCTTCGCTCCATTTCTCCTCTTCTTCTCCTCTCTGTTTTCTGTCATCACTATCAGCAGTGACAAATAGGTTTAATCTCTCCCAGCCTTCCACTTTCTCTGAAGCTCAACCACAAATTGGCTGCTGGCCTTCACCGCTGGCTCTCTCTGCCTCTAATGGAAGTGAATTGGACTCGGCCGTTTGGTTATAAATTGGTGGTAATCGTCCCGGGATGCAGAGCTGCTGTCTACCGAAAAATGGGATCTGACTCACCCTGTAGCTGTGGGCTCGTGTCAGTGAAAGGGATCCCTGTAGAGGGAACATTTGTGGGACGTTTCCTCTTCCCCTGCATGTCCTACATGCTGCGACCGATCTCTGCAGGCTCAATCAGACCAAACCTGCATGCAGCTTACAGACTACAGTGACAGAAAATAGCACATCTGCTTTTATACACCTGAAGCTGAACTGACATTGTTAGTGCAGCGGCTCAGGTTGTGATTTCAGGTCCTCCCTAAATTATTACTGCATACAGTCCTGCAATAAGCTATTACTGAACTATTAACTTCATGTACAGTGTCAGCGTTTTGCATTCATTCGTTCATTCGTTCATTCTCCCTTAAAAAACAAACCTTTATCTCTTTGTGGGAACGTTATTCCCACCACTGCTGGACGGTGGGAATAATGAGCACATAAACAGGGAGAAGGTCCAGCCTCAAGATGACAGAGGTCATTTTTTAAACTCTGAAAACATTCCTCACTCCCAGACAGCCGCCCCTCCCCCATCTGTCCGAGCTTTCTTCCTGCTAAAAGGGAGTTTTTCCTTCCCACTGTCGCTGTTTGCGTCTGATGTTGGGATTTGATGCTATATAAATAAAACTGAATCGAACTGAATTACAGTAAATCATATTTGTATCATAATCAAACCTTAAAAATCCATCCAAAGGCTAAAAATCCTTTATCCAAAGATTTAGATTTAACAAAGATCACACTTAAAAAATAAGAATAAAAATATAGTACAGAGGAGCTGCAGAGGCACCGAAACAACAAAATGCTGCAAAACTATGAAACTACACAAAGAGAAACAAAAAGATCCACAAAGGCTTAAGAGACACAACAAGAAGCAGGAACGACTCCACCAGCAGACGCCAAACGCCTGTTTCAGAGGCCGCACCGAGCCCTGGTACACGGCGGTTGTAATGATCCATCGGTGAGTGGACATTTCTCCTTTGACAGGAACAAACCGAGCACATGAGCTGTTTCTGTTTCCATCATATTCTCTTTGAGTCTTAATCCCTCAGACTCCTCCCTAAATCACCTTCAGCGTCTTTAATTTTCAGGTTATTCTCTCACATTTCTGATTGTGCTGAGAACTTCCAGCTCTGGCGTTAAAAATGCACTTTTTCTCTCAGAGTAACTGAGCTGCTAACAAAGTGCATCTTCGTTAGCGGCGGGTCAGGACTCCTTGGCTGCGAGTGTGTCTCTAATTAGAGGTTTTAGGCGGCTTCTCTGGACGCGTGACAATTGTATTATGATCATTTGAGCCGCACGAAAACTCTCGTCACAATGAAAGCCAGCCAGCAGAGACGCCTGAGAGCTGCAGTCAAAGCTCCTCCACCTACACCATCCTCTCTGTGTGTCATGCTAATCCAGGCTAATGCTAACACTGATTAAGGAGCTAAACAAAATCCCATCATGCTTCCTGAACACTGGATAAAGAAGCAGAGTGGAAACAGAGCGAGACTCTCACACGTTCCTCTGTGTTCGTCTCTTCGTGCAGATTTTATGTTCAGCCATGAAAGCACGTTAAAAGCAGCTCACCTGTGGGTCAGACAGGTACAGAGTCTCTGCAGGTGCCGCTGGCTCGTCGTCCTCTGAGCACGAGTCGAACCTGTCCTGGTTGTAATAAACTTCTGCAGTCCGGGGATCCTCAGGGATATCTGCACACACGTACAGCAACAACTTCAAAGCAACTTCAACAACCAACACAGGAGAAGACGAAAGTCAAGCAACCACAAAGACGTGCGGCACGACTGCAAACAGATGAGAGCAAAGACAACAAGACAGCTGACAGACAGCGGAAAATGAGAATAAGCAGACAGAATATGACCAAAGACACTCAAAATGAATTCAATAAGACAAAACAAAGACATGCAAGATGACCATAAAGAGACTTTTGTTTGCAGCATCCTGGTGATCAAAGGGTTAAAGATCCATGACCACGCCCAGTCTGGCTGTGGCGCTCATAATGTTCACAGAGCCGCCATCGTGACTCATTGAGCCAGAAACAGCATGAAGCAGAGGAGCTGGGGCTGAAGGGGGTTGTAAAGCTGCCTGCAGATCACAGAAACCAGGATGTGGAAACTCCTCCCTATTATTGGGTAGAAATGTTCAGTGTTTTACTTTAAGCTTCACATGTAATCGCATTCTTTATCTGCAGTGACACCATGCCGGCCCGTGTGCGCACTTCTATTTAAAACGCACACAGCCGAGGACTAAATGTGCTCATAAAGTGAAGCGAGAGGGAGGAGTTGATGGACAGAATGCTTCCTAACCTCTTTAGTCTTGATGGATTTCATTTGTCTGCTTTACCAGGCGCTGCGTCTGGGTAATTATTCCTGCTAACGAGCTCGGAGAATTGTAAAGATGGAGGATGTTTAATTCATGGTGTCTCTGAGGTCTGACAGAGCCTCTTCCGCCACTATCAGCCAATCACACGACAGGGATTAAGGAGAGGGCAGAGCTCTGGGAGCGTACGTGAGGGGAATCTACCATGAAATAAAAGGTTGAACTAAAAGATGCAGAGAAAAGTCAGGGAGAGGTCAAAGACAGGCCGCCGCCTCTACTGCGATTTCAATAAAAATAAAATGTTCTGAGCTCCCAAATCACCCGACTGTTCAGATTAACAAGTTATTTACAAAACTGGAGTGTTCGGCACCTGGAAAAACCCTGTTACAGCGTATCTGCAAGTTCCTTGATCAGATTTAACCCTTTAAGACCTGCCAGAACCAAGTCCACCAGAGCTTATATTATATTTTTACATGCTGTGGAGCCATTTTTGGAGCATTTCAAGTTGCTATACATCAATACAACCATTATAGCCCAAATTTTAATAATATGTCTGCATTAAGTGCATAGTAATTACATAAAATGCAAAAAAGTGCAATAAACTACAAAAAAAATTGAAAATCGCTTTTGTTTTGTTTACATATATTTCTAGTTAGAGAAATTTAAGAGGCTTATCCCTCAAAACTGTAAATACAAAAAAGTTGCACAAAATAGTTTCCACAGGAAATTTATTTTGAGTGTCTTCATAGTTTTATTTTTGAAATACACCAATTTTCATACACTGCAGGAAAAACGAAAATAAATATTATAGTGCAAATTTGCAAAAAAGCAGCATATGCATCAAAATAAACTATTTCCAGCAGTGCAATATGAGTCCTAAGCATCCCAGAAACGACACAGAAAGTCATAAAGTCAAACATAACTTTTAAAAACACCAGTATAGGCTCATGAGATCCTGGTGGTAAAAAACTACATTTCCGCAAAATGACATCACTTCCGGTTTCGGGCAGGTCATGGCGGACATGCGATAGTTCGCTGATGGATGTAGGAAGTGTTACAAACAGCTGATCGGATCGGCAAAGCGAGTTTCTGGAATATTATGTTTTTGTTGCTGCAAGTGCTTTTATGCAGTTTTTGCAAAGCTACATGTGGAAGGAAACTGTGACCGAGGACAAGCTGATGGCATCAGATGTAAGTACAACTCCTCCGGTTTCATATGCAAAAAAATTTATTGCGCTAGCTTACAGGGTTGCAGAGCTACGGGATTTAAAAATAGTTACGCAAAACAGAGCGTGCTGCTCCGACCGGCTTCAAAGGGTTAAGGCAGTGATTTTACGATCATTTCCTGCAGTGCCTGCAGCACAGTGCGGAGCGGCTTCCTAAACTTTCCTCCCACGGAGGTCGATTAACTTGTGGACAGCGTCACAACACGTGAGCTGGAATGGAAAAGGCGTTCCTAAACTGGATGGTCGTAATTAACTTTTGGTTGTTGCTCCCTTGTCAGGGAGGAAGTTTAGAGTAAGTATCTCAGGTGAGGGGAGGGTGAGCGAGAGGCTGTACAACGGATCGCTGTCTACAGCGAGGATGAGGATGCTGCACTGGTCTGTTGAGATGAAGACGGAGCCAAACGTCAGACCACAAACACATTCATCTTTTCCTCGACCCTGACGACGCTTCCAGTTCCTGCTGCTCAAAAACATCCCCACAGCATGACGCCACCTCATGTGGATGGAGGATGACATGGTGCTGAGTCAGGTGACCCAGTGTGGAAGTTTGGATTCTTTGATATTTGGGGATTTAGTGCTTTTCTCATCATGTAGTCTCGTGTATTTTCTGGCTCTCTAAGTTCTTCAGTGATTTCTTTGTCTTCATGTTTGTTTCATGTCCCACACTCAGTCGTGGCTCCGTGTCACAGTTGTTACTCTTGTCTCTGCTCCTCGTGTTCTGTCAGCCTGCGTTTCAGTGTCGGCCTCTGGTTTCCTGTTTTATTTTGATAGTTCCATGTGAGTGTCTTTGGTTTTGCTTCCTCCCCGTCTCGTTGTGTGCCCGCCGTGTTTCCTGTTCCCTCGTTGCTCTCTTGTGTATTTGAGCCCTGTTTGTTGTTGCGTCGTTAATAATCACACACCCTGATTGCTCTGGCTTTCCTCTGCGTTTCCTGAAAACTCTGTTTCGGTTTTGTTTTGCTTCATTGTAATGTTCCCGGGTTCTGTCACAGCACATGAAGCCTTTTTCAGTTCAGCCTTTGGTTTTGGTCCTGATCCTGCCTGCTGCAGCCGTAACATGACGCACTGGCCTGTGATTAGTGCTGCCTGATTGGATTAACCGGTCAGTGTACCTTCCTGACCTTCCTCACCACGAGCTCTGGACAGTGTTACATGATTCTGAGAGTGAATGACAGAACGAGCTTTCAGTCACTGTCCTCCAACCTCAGTCGCTCAAACACAACTCCTCGTCATCACATGAGTCCAGCTCAGGTGGTTCAGGCATCTGATCCGGATCCTGTTTCAGGTGTGTCCTACTGAGAGGACGTCCTGAGGTAGACGTGGGACATGCTGGAGTCAGAGCTCCTCGTGTTCCTGATGAAGACATGGGAGGCAGCGGCGTCAACTAGCGGGTGTCTGTCCTGTGTCTCAGGCTGAAGGACACCTCTAACGATCCACTGAGCACTTCCTCTCCACCACTCTCCTCCTCATGCGTTTAAATGCATCTACTTCACTTTATCAACTCCCATTTTCTCTCCTGTGGTTTATATTTCGTCCCGGTCTCTCGATGCTCCTTCTTTTCTCTTTTCTCTCCCCTGAACCACCGAGCAGTCGGGTAGGAGGCTGCTCCTCCCTGATCCTGGTTGTGCTGGAGGTCTCAGTGGTCCTGTGTGGCTCACGTTCTCTCTGTAATCCCAGTGAGCTAAAACTGAGCTGAATGCTGATGCTTCTGTCAGAAACATGGAGCTCGGAACTTGACACATGTAAACAGAACCAGCATCCCAGTGACGGACAAACGAGACTGGATTTCATTCGAATAAACCATAACATGAGATCAGCTCCGAGTCTTTTACTCAGTTAACATTAAACTGATGGATCAAATTGTTCACTCATTCTTGACTCAGGAGATATTTTACCAGCGGCTCCTCTGTGATATCAAGCTGTCTAGAAACTGATTGGCTGAGCTCCAGCACCATGTGACGCGAGGCTCAGGTGTCGGCTCTGCTGCTGAGACCACAGCGGCTGTGACTCTCCGAGGAGCTGCCGCCTGTCGTGGGTCGTGTCGGAGCTCTCGGACCCTTTAATGAGAAAACGGTTTGAGGAGCGTGAAGCTGGAAAACTAAAATAAGACGATGCCGGTTTGGAAAAGGTGACGTGTGTTATGATGAAAGGCTGGCAGCAAAATGAAGCTTTCAAAGTTCATTACTTAGAAATGGCTCTCTGTGGAGACACTCGCAGTTTAACGTGTTGAACCAGAGCCTGCAAATAAATCAAAAACTAATGATGAGTCACTTTAAGGACGTGACCAGCGGGAGTCTTTCCACTTCCTCCTCGCTGTTTCAGAGCAGTGACCAAGTTCTGCGATGGCGGCTGTGAAACGCAAACACTGGTCTTCTTTTAAAGCCGACTAACACCCTGTTTCACAGCAGCTCCAGCTCCTCCAGCGAGATCATTCCCAGGCAAGGCAAGTTTATTTATACAGCACAATTCAACAGCAAGGTGATTCAAAGTATTTACAGAGACATTAAAAACAAAAACAAATAAAAATCAGGATTTAAAATGGAAAAAAAAGGTAAGTTTTGAAATTTAAGCTTAAAAGTAAAACAGTGTGGATTTGGTGCTTTATTCAAATGCAGCTCGCTCCACAAACTAACTTTCTGTTTTTGTCTCTGAGCATCCGGAGGAGAGAAAATCTCAGGTTTCATTACGACTTCCCGAGCAGTTTGATGCAGTCGAACCTTTATGAACTCAGCATCGAGCCAAACGTCCTGTCGGCGGTTCCTCATCACTCAGCGTCTGTGCTGCTGAAGGACGCCTGAAGTGTAAGATGTGGATCTGATCCCGAACGTCACGCGTTCACCGTCCAATCGAATACAAACTGAAAAGCTGAGAGCTGGAGGAGAGCAGAGCCACCTAGTTTCTGTTCAGAACTATGAAAACATTAAATGAAGTCTGTTTTCTTGATGTGAATCTAAGTGTCTGTGAAACGCCGCGGGGCCACTTCATCCCTGAAAACGCTCCGTGTAGAGAATCGAAATTCCATCTGTTCCAAGGAAGCATGAAAAACCAACGCAGCTGCTTCCACTAACAGATTTCTGCTTTGTACATAAAGAGCTCTGTTTCTTTATTTGTGAGCTCCCTGCAGGCTCACGTCTCCAGCTGCGAGTTTCTCACCAAACTGATCAAACTCCAACGGCTTCCTCTCATAATCGGTCCTGCTGGATCGCGCTCGCGCTCGCGGACTTCACGGAGGTTTCAGGTGTTTCCCAGAGAAACAGGAAGTGCTCCTCAGCTGTTTGCTGATGTTCAGTCAAAGTGTTTTCCAACACAGCCGTAGGAAGGACGCTGTCGAGCTGAAGCTGTTTATTCTCTTTTATCTTCTCCATGTAAACTGGTTTGAACTGCTTCCAAAGATGTCGGCAGGTTACTGGATGATACTGATGTTGAGTCATTTTAAGGCGCTGAGACTTTCACTGTCATCCACGTTTCTGCTTCCTTCTCTTGTGCAAAAACCTGAATAACTCAGATATAACCTCAGCATTCTCCCACAGCTGCCCTCAGCTCTGAACTGTGCTCATAAAAAGTGAAAAATCCAGGAGGGACCGATGATGAAAGCACGATAACAAAGAAATTTCAGACTTTCTTTGTCTCGCCTGAGCTGATTTTTTACAAATGACATTAACTTTAATGAAATTTTCTGGCTGTTGGCCTTCCTTATTACCTCCGAAGGATTTTTAGATAAACGTATGATTAAGCTGCTGAAACGCAGACCCCTCTGGAGAGCTTTTGCTTCACATCAGCTGCAAATTTTATTAGTTCGAGCTCGCTGGCTGCTGGGTTTATTTAGGAAACGTCAGTGACAGAACACGGGAGCAATATGAACCTGAAGACAGATCATAACTGCAAGCTGAGGAAATGTTCTCCAAGCCTGTTAGATACACTTGAACAGACACAGCCTGCGTAATTTAGCCGTCCAGCGTGAAGCTGAAGTTTCACACAAGCTCCGAGTTCTGAGTTTGATGTGGAGAAAAGAGAACCTGCTTTAAGTCTCAGCCTGAGGTTCCTACTGAAGAAGCCTCCAAGAAAAGACATTTTCTGACCTTATCAACATAAATATATATTATTTAATGGTAGAACAGACATCCCCAAACTCAATAATTCACAGTCTGAATCTGGTCCGTACTTCGGGACCTCTCAGAAAAACCTGCAGAACCATGAAAAGAACCGAAAGTTTCTGATGTTTGTTACAGAAACAAATCTGAAGCTGCTGCAACTCCACAGGAAGCACGTTTCACGTCTGCAGCGCGTTCGTCGTCCAGACTCTTCAGAGGAGATGCATCACCGTGGCAACCGAGAAAACGAGCTCCGGAAAAAGTGTCGAGTGTTGTAATTTAGTTACATTTAGTTACATAACATTTTAATGATATTTCACATGTTAGAACTCAACACGTCCAAGTTCAGACGTTCTCACTCTTTAAGAGCTTTTTAAAAAACTTCACAGATTCATCGGACGACCGCTCGATTCAAGGTTAGTGCCACAGCTGCCCGAAATAAACAATAATCACTGTTTATGTTCATGGTTAATCCACCAGCATGTGCAAGCCTGATGATATTTTTATCACTATAACATAATTATTGTTGTAATCCTTGAATTCAAATGTCCTGTAATACAAAAGGGCAGATAGAAATAATAAAGCACATTATTATTATTATTATTATTATTATTATTATTAGAAGATGCTGAATTACACGTATTTCTTTCATCCTTGAACAGAAAAATGAGTTTTGGAGTTTGAAAGTTCATCTTGATTCATTTCCAGCTGCTTTTGTTTGTTGTTTGCAGAATAAAAAACATCATTTTTAGTTTCAAACAAATTTTTTGACAGATTCTAAAACATTTGTGTTCTTGTTTCAATGACTAATACATTTGTTAAGCAGCGAATGTGACCACAGCTTTATTGTTTTTAATCTCTTTGCACTTGTTTTTGGTCTTCTCGCTTGTTTTGTGTTTGTGCTCTTTAAGGTGGTTTTTGTGACGCTCCACCCCTCTGGGAAGCTCCACCCCTTGGGAAGCTCCGGCCCTCTGAGTCTGCGCCTGTGTGCTCTCTGCGTGTACGCGTGGCGATGAACGAGCCGCCATGTCTGTTGTTTTCTCACCGTGCAGTTCTGGTTCTGACTCGTCCTGCTTCGGTTTTGGCGCCGACCCTCCAGCGTTCTGGCGATTCTGGCTGCTGATTGGCTGAGCCTGACTCTGGCAGGCTCCGCCCTCTCTGCTCTCCTAACGGTTGGTGGAAAAGCATTAAATGAGTGTTTTACTGGAACCCAGTTAGACTCGGAGAACAACAGAGAAACCCACGAAGCCCGGGTCGAGTATCAGAGGAACAACAAAGTGTTTCTTACATTCAGAACATCCACACTGACTTTTTGGAAATGGCGGCTCCTCAGTTCCCTCCTGCGGGTGTGGACCTCCTCGTACTTCTCCTCAGCCAGTTTCCTGTAGAGGACAGAGGACACGCTGTGAGGGTAACAGTTCCTTCAGAAGGTTTTTCTCTGATCCCCCTCCAGCTCGCCTCCTCGTGCACCTTTAGACCACTTCCTGCCTCCGTTCTGTCTCCCTGACAACCATCTGCACTCTGTCACAATAAAGATGCTTCAGGGACGTGGACACGTGGTTTATGCCGCTCTGCCCAGCTGCTGTTCATGGTGCCCTTATTCTGCCTTGTTTTACACTTTGGTCATGAAATAACCTGCAGAATATATAACAGTATATAACCTGTAGAATAAATATGCATAAATCCTCATGTTGGACGGGTGGAGGGTTGTAGCTCTGCAGCTACAACCCTCCACCCGTCTCCTGACAGCCTCAGCATCTCTCTGTGAGAGCAAACAGGGAACCATAACCTTATTTCAGGGTAGTGCACAAGTTTCCTGGTAATGAAAGGTGGCTTCTGGGGCGCCCGCCACCAATAAAGGAGGTGATAACAGCCTGCTGGATGTGTCCACGGGACAGATAACCACAGATAACCACAGCTGTTTAATGGGCTTGTAAGTGTGTAAACAGGTGTGGAGTCAGCAGCTGCTTCATTAAGAGCGAACAGGGAGGATCGGCAGCGTATTTGTGGATAAATCTCTAAGTTCATGTGAGCCGGACTTGATGAAACACATGTTCAGGTTCTGGTTCCGACATAAAGTCCTGCAGGAACCGCCCGCCTGCTGCCAAACAGCCGCGCCGGCCTGCTGTCGTCCCTGCCCTCCCATGTGATCTCCGTCTGCACGCCATCTGACGAGGATCCGTGTTGGCGGCGCGCTGGCGTCGTTCACAGGCTTCTGAGCACATTCACACTTTATTACGCACGCAGTGACGATAACAAGCGTTTAACGGCCCCCTCGCCGTGACGAAAGTCGATTAGCACGCCGGCTCGGGGGGACGGAAACCAGAATGTGTCAGATCCAATTTGGATAATGTCACTCTGCTCTCACGCCGCCTGATCGAGGTCACGGCTTTGAGTCCTGATGGAGCCGCCTGCTGCTGCCCCTCGTGAAACAGGAAACAGGAGTCTGGATCGGAGTCGTCCTTCCTCCAGATGTAGATTCATCAACGCTGATTAAGCCTTAATGTTCATCGCTGCACACGACCATCAACGCCAGCAACAAACACACGGCTGCAATTTCATTTCTTTGTAATCGTTCTGTGTCCCGGACCGTCGGCAGACAGAAGCAATCTCACGATCCAAGCTGTGCTGTTCCTTTTTATGTGTGTTTGAAGATTACACATTATTTTGTTGCATTTTTAATATGTTAGGTGCATATATGAGTTTATCTGAACGCTCACTCTGTTTGTAAAAGAGTCTTTTTGTGTTTTTGTCCTGCTCATATCTTCTTATGAAAATAACTCATCAGCCTCACATTCAGACCACCGTCGGCTGGAAGTGAAGCTCCACCCAACCTTCTCTATATACCCTACGTGTCAGGTCTATGCATACCAGCGGGACTATAATGGCGTGGAAGGCGGCGCTGCAGAGATAAATAAGCTTCACCTGAGTCTCCCGGCCTCCTCATCAGCAGCCTGCAGTTTGCGGAGTCTCATCCTTTCTCTGGGGGTCATCTTCTCCACCTCTGACCTGTCCCTGAGCGTCTGCAGGTGAACCTTCGTCTGCCTACACACACACACACACACACACCTGTCAGTCACCCAGGGCTGTGCAATCACCGACTAAAGGTGCTGGTTCTACCTACTGCCTCAAATATGGAGTTACGTGAACTCAGTGATGATGATAATTATCTCAGAGTGATTTCATCTGCAGACAAACGTCAGACAGGTTCGAGTTCTTTAGTTTAAAGTCTCACTTGATCACTTTTGAAGCAATCAGAGCAAAGAGGAAATGTGAAGCTGCCGTCAGTCATGCTGTTAAAGTCTACACGAGTCAGGAGCAAATCAAAGGTTTCTGAGACTGAAGAGGACGAACACCAAACAGTGGCAGGAGATGCAACCGTCACCGGGAGCGTTGACTGTTCAGGTCAGACTCAGTTTTATTCACACGGCTTTAAATCCCAGGAGCCGTTTAGTGTGCCAGGTTATTGTGTGTTTTATTTCTGGACGTCCCGCCATCCTCATCTGCTCTGTGCAGCTTTGTAAGGACGACCTGCCGCTACCTCATCATTTAAACGTCGCTACGCTAACTGAAAACTTAACTTAAAGAAAACTGAAATGCTGAGAAACGTGCGGAGCCCCCGCCCTCACAGTTAAATCCCGCCTGTGTGACTACCACTGCGAGGACCCTGAGCCCGAGGACGTGTCAGTCTGTTTGAAGGTTCAGGTTAGACCGCTCGGTGTTCGGCAGAGTCGTTCGTAACGTGAGGTTAAAGAGGAAACGAATGCATTAAGTCAACGAGAGGCCTCACAAAGAGCAGCGCAAACGTGTGGGTGTGTGCGCGTCGCGGGGATGGATTATCTGTCAGCGAGCAGCGTCTCGTCTGTCAGCACACAGAGCAGGAGCCGCGCTCGCTGCTGCTCTAATTATAGCAGCAACACTCTGAGGGGAGGCTAAACACTGTGTGTGTGTGTGTGTGTGTGTGTCTGTGTGTGTGTCTGTGTGTGTGTGTGTGCGTGTGCGTGTGTGTGTGTGTGCGTGTGTGTGTGTGTGTGTGCGTGTGTGTGTCTGTGTGCGTGTGTGCGTGTGTGTGTGTGTGTGCGTGTGTGTGTGTGTGTGTGTGTGTGTGTGTGTGTGTGTGTGTGTGGTGTGTGTGTGTGTGTGTCGTGTGGTGTGTGTGTGTGTGCTGTGTGCGTGTGTGTGTGTGCTGTGTGCGTGTGTGTGTGTGTGTGTGCGTGTGTGTGTCTGTGTGCGTGTGTGTGTGTGTGCGTGTGTGTGTGTGTGTGTGTGTGTGTGTGTGTGTGTGTGTGTGTGTGTGTGTGTCTGCGTGTTTGTGTGTGCGTGTGTCTGTGTGTGTGTGTCTGTGTGTGTGTGTCTGTGTGCGTGTGTTGTGTGTGTCTGTGTGTGTGTGTGCGTGTGTGCGTGTGCGTGTCTGTGTGTGTGTGTGTGTGTGTGTGTGTCTGTGTGTGTGTGTCTGTGTGCGTGTGTGTGTCTGTGTGCGTGTGTGTGTGTGTGTGTGTGTGTGTGCGTGTGTGTGCGTGTGTGCGTGCGTGTGCGTGTGTGTGTGTGTGTGTCTGTGTGTGTGTGTGTGTGTCTGTGTGCGTGTGTGTGTGATAGGGATGAGGCAAAGTTGCATAATGAAGAGGAGCAGGAAAATAATGTTAAGAAGGAGAGGAAGAAGGATAATGAAGGAGATGAAAACGAGGGTGGAGGGGAAAGGAAACAGGAAAAGGAAAAATAGGAGGAGGTGGAGCAGCAGCAGAGGAGGGGAGGGAGGACACAGAGGAGGTGAAGAAAGCAAGAAGAGGAGGAAACACAACCAAGTGGAAAGAAAATGAAAATAAAATAAATAAATAGAAAAAGAAAGAAGAGCAGAAAAAGGAAAGAGGCTGAGAGTTTTATCGCTGGAGCTGCTCGACGTGGAGCTTTTATTATTAATTGGAGATTAACCACGCGCCTTCCGGTTCTCATCTATGTGTGTCCCCAGTTCTACAAGCGGTTCGTTCTCCCTCCACTTTTCAGTTCTTTAACTTCTTCACTTGTGTTTATCTCACGGGGAGGCCCCTTCGAGGCCCGCCCCAAACCGCAGCTCAGCTCGTGTCCAAACGCTTACATTCACCTTTATCCACTAAAACGCTGTCAAACCTCAAACGAGGACGTGGGCCCAGCGAGTGAATTTACGATTGAAGTCCTGTGGAAATTAAGTCCACCATCACTGGAACAGAAAGGATAAGTAGCAGCCACATGACCGACTGACGGTCATCAGCGCCTCAGAGGTTTTGGCAGTTTGCAGGTGTGCTCATTATTAAAATGACAACATTTCCTGACAACAAAGAGCTGCGTCTCAGAGTTTACAGGCCTTGCTCCACGTGTAAAGGTTAAAGGTCATGTTATTAGAAAAGAGACTGAACAACGTTCACTCAGCAGTGAACGGCTTGCAAAGCTGCTGCTGGAAAAGCGACTCGGTCTGTGGACGTGGAGATGTTTGTCGCTAATGCGCAGCAGCATGTTCGGACAAACGCAAACACCTCAGACCAGCTGTAGTATTCTGGAGTCAGACACGAGGCCGTCGGTCCCACGGCTGACGTCAGCAGGACGATGAAGGAAGAGACAGCTGATGATGACGAAGACTTACATGTGCTTAGCGATGGCTGCAGCATCGCTCTTTCCTCTCTCTGACGAGACGAAGACAAACCTGTCCTTCATTTGCTGCAAAAACAGAGACACAGAGACTCTGCAGAGGCAAATGATTTTAACAGTTCAGCCTGACTGTCCTGGATAATAAAACGAAATTAAATATTGAGCGTCCTCTCCTGCCTGTCTTACAATAGAGAGAGCACCCCAGAGGCTAATATTTCAAAAACGAATCCTAGCACAGTGATGCATTGTGGGTCACTGAGCCAGGGGTTTGCTGAGTGCCTCCAAAAGGAAACAAAACAGGTCACAGATGCAGAAAAGGCAGCCCAGGGTTACCTGTCACATCAGGTACAAGCAAACGCGACAGAGACGCAGGGAGAACGGCTCAAATCACACCCAACACAAACAGAACCAGAGCGAGGTGCTGCTCCTGCTGTCGGTCGCCACAGGAAGAAGCAGATCAGAGGGAGGACACTCAGAACCGCACAGGCTCAGAAAAACTGTCCCACGAGATCACAGGAGATTCACTGAGCTCGGTCAAAGATGTGGTCGGTTTCTGCTGGAGCGCATACTTTCACTTTTATTCCCGCTGTGGTTTAAAAAGCTGCACCCATCAAACCTTTTGAATATTTGTTTCAGTGAGCTGAGTTTCAGATTGTGTTCAGCCTTACTTCACTATAATAACCTCGGGAGCCCGAGCTCGTCACACTCAGCTTGAACAGATCACACGAGGCTGGAGCCCCCGGGGTGTGCGCTGAGTCTGCTGCTCCTCACTCTGCTGACTGCAGACACACAACAACGACACAACGCCGGGTCTCGTCGGGAGCCAGGGGAATCGCCTGGGACGTCACCGACACACCCAGCACCTCCGCTCACCGTCGTCGGCTCTGCACGGACGCCCGCCGGGAACATGGCGCTCCTCCTTCCTGTGTAACCTGAGGAGAGCCAGAGTGGGGACAGCCATCCACACCTCATATTTGGTTTCATATCTTTAATCTAGTTCGTTTAATTTCATTTAGATTCACTCGCGTTACACGCGCTGGGTTGGGTGAAGCGCCGCTGGGATCCCGTCTGCGTCCCGTACATATCGCAGAATTAACAATAAAGCTTTAGTTCGCCCTCCAACGATGCCAACAGCTGTCAGCGTCTGCACTTCCTTTGTGATTTCCCTCGATCGTCCTGCTCTGGTGTCACGCTCTCTGCTCGCTGTGGAGGGGCTTCAGTGGAAGCTTCGTCTTTAAGGCAGCGAGACAAAAGCTCAGAGTGTGAATCATTTTTTAATAAGTAGGTTCAGTGTTGAGTTAAATCTATCAGCGTGTTCTAATTTAATCATTTGTGTGCACAGCACTGTGACTAGCATTATGTGAAATGAAACTCTGGGAAGTGTCAGTTACTCCTCAGATCTTATCCCCGGACATTTGCCCAGACTTCGGAGACATTAAAGCTGGGTCACCTGCTACGGAGCGCTGCAGGAGCTCTTCAGCTGCCATCATGATGCCCCAGAGTGCCACGCTGCAGTATGGAATAACATTAACATAATAATATTTCAGTGGAAACCATGGCAACCCACTCCATGAAAACCATAATGTGTTATCTCTCGCCGAGTTCCCCGAACATCCAAACATCCAAAGAACTGAGCCACCAGCAAGGGTTATGGGAAACGGGTGATGTTGTTATATAACACGCACGCGCGCACACACACACACACAGGCTTTCAGCACTTCAGAGGACATTAAACTAATGGGGAAATTATGGTTCAGTGGTTGTCAAGCTCTCTAAGTTTGTGCAGCTTCCCCGCTTGAAAGGGATTGATGCATCTACCACAGGTGTTTAACTGGGTTTCACTCAATGACCAGGCAGATCTTTTGTTTTCCTTTTCTTTAATCTTCTTTTCGGCCACAGTCAGCCATAGGTGAAAAACCTTTAAATACAAACCAAAAAACCAAAATACAAATTATGTTTGTTATCACACATCTGCAAATATTGTAAACAATCCCAAACACATTTTCTTTTTTAAACACATCAATGCAGTGCGCAAGCTTTGTAGTACAATATTTACTTGAGTATTTTTAAATGCTCAAATTATGTAATTCACTAGCAATTGTACATACACCTTGAGAAATACTGCTTTCTATTAAAGTGCTAAATTAAATAATCAATCTGCATTAGAACTTGAGCAATAACAATAGTATTTATAACCAGCTTCTCTTAACCATATGCAAGCATTAACAGTCTTCCATATGCAGACCAACAATAAACAATGGTGCCGCTCGTAAACAGGCAACCAACTCACGGCACAGTGCTAATGCTACGTAAGCTAGCGGCAGCCGCGATTCTTTAGCAACTCGCTTCAAAGTCTTTTACCATAGTCAGCAACCATTCCCTTACCGGCTGCCTCCCTGGCTTTGTAGATACTTCAGTTCCACACA